CAACACAACATGATCACATGTTATATTCAGTGACATAGCCAGCCCGACGATTTGGTACCACTATGCAAATTTAAACTCATTCATTTCTTTAGGAATTGATTGTGTTGATAGTTTGTAAATATGGCTACGCCACTGGTTATATTTTACTTGTTTGTTGCAAAGTTCAAAAGTTCATATTGACATTCTCAAACCGGTTTGTAAATGAAGCCTTTGATTGGTCCTTTAATTAAAGTAACCAATCACAAACCAGCTTGAGAATTCCAATATGAACTTTTGAACTCCGCAACAAACTTACCAATTTCAGAACAAAGTTTGATAGATATCATGATACAGTATCTCATATATTTTTGTATTATTATCTCACTCATAAATGTACAATTATTTTATACTTACTCATGAGTGTTGCAATTCCCAAATGACCATCAGTAACAACTTCTTTAATGGACATCTGAGAAGCCAGCAACTTATCCATTCCTCTCACAAACCCAATTTGCTCCATATTGTTGTTCTTTCCAGCAGCTTCTCTGACATCCACAATGTTCATTTGGAGGATGGCGTGGTCTTCCATGTCTGTCAAACTGTATGTTGAGTATTGCGCACAATGCCCGGGCGAATCATTCTGACCATCACCACTGAGGATGATATCTTGTCCAGTCTTTTCTTCCCAAAGCTCCTGCTTGTGTTGTTCCCAGAACTTGTTTACAGCAGGGGCAATGTACAGACTCTGATACTGAGTAAACAGTGTTTTAGAAAAATACTGCAACTTAAAGAATCTGAACATCAACCCTACTTTTGTATACGAGTTTCCAGACAACAACAAAGCAGAAGCAAGCAACAAATTTCCAGCTCTAAGATTTTCACACATGGGTTGAGCACCCCATCTGCCTCCTTTATGTCCAGAGGCACATCTCCAGGATACAATCAGACATGTACCAACATAACTTTTTCTATATTCCAGCACACAACCACATCCCTGTCGCTTACAAATGCTCCCATGTAATTCTTTTAGCAATGACATGATTGCATCTGTAAAAACAACACACTTTTCTTGATGAATAGCATCCTCCACACTTATTCGCTTGACGGATGAATCATTTCCTTCATCTTGTGCCAACTCCTCATTGTGGCCACCAATTTCTGTGTTGAACACCTCTTCCTCAATGAATGATGCTTCCAAGGGCGGCGGTAATCTATAATTGAAGGCCATAATAGGGGTGGACCATTACAGGGTCTGCTATACTGTACAAAATTAATGACTTTTCAATGACTGAATTCAAACTTTTCCCAACACTTTTGTCACTGGGAATCACAAGTAATGAAATGAAATCCTTGAAAATCGCAGCTGCATAAAAGCATGAATTTACTTATTCAAAACGTCTTGACATATTTAGATGTTACAGGACTTAACTTCATTTATATTTTTGTGTAATTCTCTGATTTTGGATTTTTCAAGGACTTTTCAAGTGCCCAGGAAATGAGAACTTTCCAATGTTTCAAGGCATGCATGAACCCTTTCATTAGAATTCCGGGACATTTTCCCAGCAACAATGTTTTGAGATTGGAGCGCTGAAGCTGTGGGTTACTGGTTAGATCACACCATAATGATTTGAGACCATTTTGACATGATATAAATAGACTCAGACTTGGCATCTTTGCCCTGTAGTTTGTAATTAGCCTGAAACAGATTATCCACATATTTACAGTACATGTATATAAAATAGCAACATACTCAACACTTTCATCCATGGGCATGATGGTTGATGCAGTCAGAGTTGTGTTATCATCATATTCACCATGTGAGTCATCCTCGTTACCCGATAGTGTTTCCTCTTCTAAAGGATTTCTGTATTTAATTTAGAAACAAATAACACATAAAAAATATACCAAACTTTTCATGTATTGACCTTTTTTGTCATTGTTAACAAGACTACAAACCTCTTAGATATTGTAGCACTGATAGCAGACAATGGTGAACTGTCAGGTAGTAGGCTTCGTCGACTTTGAGAATGTAAAATTGGTGGAGTTGAACTGGTAACTACATGAGAAAGTTGACAGAGAAAATTAAAAATTAAAAAATGTAGATTAATAAAATTTAGATTGAATCAACAACAATTTATCCATACATTATTTTAATTGTTGTCTTGATCACAAGGGTCAAGGCCTTTATGTTTATAATTTTTGGAAATATTAGATTTGCACAATGAGCAGAATGTGTAGGTTGATTACCTAATATCAAAAATATACATGGGTTCTTGAGGTACCCATTAATTGGGGGTTGCTTCACTATGAGCACACAAGACTTCTACTGGTTGATGTAAGTCTGCTCGATAAAGTAGAGTGGAGAGATAATAGGCCAAAGGGGGGGGGGGATGTATCACTATACAGCATATAAGACAGTCAGTGTTGCTTTTTTATTTTATAATTTCATCTAACTTTCACCAAACATATCATAATAAAATATCTTTAACTTGTATGACTTTGTGCACCGATTAAAACAACAGTTAACTTACTGGCAGGGCTCATCTGTATTTCTGGGGCATTCAGGGCTTCGGCATGGCCAAGAGGTGTAGAGGTAAACACTATGAAATATGAAAACAGTTACCGTATATATTTTTAAAAATAATACACGCCACGCAACATATAAACTTGTATTAAATTGATACACTTTTTGATATGCATACGGTTGTTATTAAACACTTACACGGCGAAGGAAAATTGTCCAGGGTAGATTCTCTTTGTCGAATTCGCGCGCTTCTTCTTGGTGTTGTTGGCGTCGCTGGCAGGGCTTCGGCATGGCCAAGAGGTGTAGAGGTAAACACTGTGAAATATGAAACACTATGAAATATATTTTTTTAAATATGAATATTAAATACACGCCATGCAACATATTAAATTGTATTAAATTGATGCACTGTTTGATATGTATACTGTTGTTATTAAACACTTACATGGCGAAGGAAAATTGTCCAGGGTAGATTCTCTTTGTCTAAATATTCGCGCGCTTCTTCTTGGTGTTGTTGGCGTCGCTGGTGAAACAATGGGCAATTCATCTTGAATAAACTCCGGTTCAGTTTGGCTTGTTTGGGTCTCTGCACTCACACTTTCAACAAAATATATAAACTTTAGATGCGAGACAATACGAAATTAAATTAAACACATTGCATAAAAAGAAAAATGCTTTTATTCGTGTATAATCTCACCATAATCGATCCTGCTGTGCTTGATAGGATTCAAGTAACATTTCAGCGACACCCTTGTCACTCTTTATATTTTTGCTTTCTTTAAATGCCCTCCAACGTTCAAAGACATCAAATAAATAAACCTTTGAAGCATCTCTGCTTGCTAAATATGCCTTTCTTTTTTCCCTTCTCAAACTTGTACTCGACGAATCAATATTCGACGCACTAGACGTCGAAGGAGTGCTCTCCGCCATGTTTGTGAATAATAATTTCTCGGCGCGCCGACCACTAAGTAGACTGGAACAAGCAATATCCACTTCCGGTGGAGTCCCCTGTAAACAAACATCTCGCGCATTCGCAGAAACGACTTATCCCCTGCTTTAAAATCTGATATTTATTTGCAAATTATAATAGAATTGGCATTCCTCATGGCCAAGGTTAACTTAGTCCACCTTATACCCCGTTCACCCACTCCCAGCCAAACCTTTGAAGTTTGAATTTTTTTTAAACTCATTTCAAGCACACATTTTTTCCACTTGTTATAATATTTGAAAGCGATCGGTTTCTGCTGTTCGAAATCCTTTCTTATAGCATAGACAGTAGCTTACATTTGCATCAGCACCTCCACTTCTAATTTGCCCTTGCATCGTGTGATTCATTCTGAGAACACTTACGTTTCTTCCTGGAGTTTCTAAGTTTTCTTTTTTGCTCGATAGAATGTGCCATTTGGTTTGTCAAGTGATAAAAAGTGTATAAATATGTTGTGAAAAATTGTGCACTTGAATACAAGTAATTAATTTCATCTTAATTTGGACATTAAAGCCATATTTGGAAAAGACAGGGGGCTGTTCAATTGTTGCCATAGTAATGCATGCATGCTGTATAAAGTCATTTTACATCGTATATTTACAGAAATAAATAAAAAGTTAATATGGTGTATCATTCTTATTTATTATGGAATAAAAGACTATTTACAAGAGTTACATGTCAGGTATGCTTTCGTTATACATTGAAATATTTATTTTATACACGGGTCACAGTAGTCCCGATGAATGAAGCATTTTTTATACTGTCAGTAACTTATATAGACCCCTTGACATCCTTGTAGACATGAATTTCTTTCGTAGAAAGATTTAAAACCTTATAATTTTACAACAATATTAACAAAACTCTTGACAGCTTTTTGTCTACCAGGTATTAAATTAGCATTAAAAAGGGCAAGGTACCTTTTACATGAGAGACAACATGAGACAATCATTCTATAAAGGCCCTGTTTGAATGTTTCCTACATGAAGGGCTGGCTCTCCTTGGCGAGATCCCACTTGCTAACACATTTCCTTATTAAAAATTGTTTTTGTTTATACGAGAGGAGGGTTATGCAGCCCTACCGAGCGAGATCTTGCTATTGAGGAAGCGAGTAGGGCTGGCCCCCTAGTAGGACCTAGTCCTAGTAGGGCTCGAAATTTCTCATATAAATGCAGTAGGGAGGGCTGGCCCCCTAGTAGGACCGAGTGAAAAAGCTTCTTCCACTCTAAATATGTAGTTCTAATTTTAGATGCCATATTAGAAATAATGAGTTACACAGAAGCTATTAAGTGCAACTTGCAAAAGAAAGCCAGCCCCGCAGTAGGGCTGATATTCTCATGTAAACAGTCGCAATGAAAATCAGCCCTACTGCTAGCCCTTTACAGTATGCAGGGCTCATCTACCCCTCCCACCTAAGACTAACCTTTCAATTTCATGATCGCTTTAGCTGTTTTTATTTGTTTCAATTTTTCTTTCATGATGGAATCTACTTGATAATCATCAAAGGTTGGCAAATTATGATTTTGAATGCATGAAATAGTTCTTTTCCCAATCTTCAACCTCCTTGTCCAACTCCTGTTTTTTCTGAGACATTCTTGTCTGCAGAACTGCAAGTTTATTCATGTAACTGTCAAGGAATAACTTACCGTGACAATAGTTCTTTGCTACCTCTCTCACTTGGTCAAATTCAATAACTTCTTTAGTGCTTCCTAGGATATGTGCCATTGTTGAACCCAATGTAGTTTTCCATTGTTGTTCTTTCAGAGCACTAGCCAAACTCTGGTCGACTTGGGCATCATTTTGGTCATTGATGAGTTGCACATTCTCTTTTGCTACAATATGGAGAAAAAAAATACACCAGATTACTATTACTAAAATATTCAAGCTACAAATTGGGACTCTAAATAGGAGTGTGTGTGTGTGTGTGTGTGTGTGTGTGTGTGTGTGTGTGTGTGTGTGTGTGTGTGTATATATGTATATACCATATACCAAGTGGCAATGAGTTAATGTTAGATCAACGTTTCTATATTCATACTCTTAAAGTCTTATTTCATACTACGCACCTGTTGTAGCTGTATTTCCCAGCAAGGTGTCAACATCCATTGGTTCTTCTAAGTTTTTGTCTGGCGGTGATATTAGGTTATAATGTGTGTTGTCGCTGTCTGGGATGTCTTGAATACTGGCATTAGGGCCAACACCATGATCTTCCTCAGGGTATATCTTGTGTGCACTCACTTCCAAATTGATCATGTTCACATGACATTGCTGCCTCTTCATCTGAAACCTCGACTGATGTGATATTGATAGGATCAGCATTCTTCAGGAAGTCTGTCTGGTTTCGAATGAGGATGTCTTTGTTCTGATCTTTCACTCTCAACACATGAAGAGGTAAGGGGATTTTTGCTTCTAGGCACATAGACCAACACTTAGTAAGATAAGCCTCTTCCTCCTTGAAGTTACTTGAGCAAAAATGATGAAGCTTTGGACCTTCAGATCTTACATCAACTCCAGTGTTCTTGCCAAAAAATTCCACATCTTCTTCATTGCCAACTATGAGAAAGTCACTTATTCTCTCTAAATCAGCTTGCCAAGATGAACTTGAGCTTGCTAAGGTGAAAAAGGGAACAACTGTATTGCCAAGAGGAGGAAGAGACTTAGCCAATTTTGAAATGTGAGCTTGCTGCTTGGTGACAGAATTATCTGAATGGTATGAACCCAGTTTCTTTTCAGCTTGGATGCAAAGAAAAACATTCCCAATAATATGCCCTGGTTGTTTTGAGGATGTGGATTGGGTGATGTTGGTCACAGCATTGAAGACCCTTTCTTGCTCTTCAGCATGATATGATTTCCCACTTATTGAGGCGATTCTATATAGCAGCATGGGCTGATAGTTTATGAAAATAGACACCATAAAATTTGCGGCAACTCATCTTTGTATGGTAACCAATAACTTGCCAACAGAGAAATGCATGTAGCCATGTAAGATTATGGAATCTTAGGACACTTCGAGGTGAACGGCTCCCTTCACACGCATAAGCAATGGCTTTCTGTACCTCTAGTGAAGCTTTACCAATTATATGATTAGTTACCATAATAAGAGCACATCGGTAATCAAAACATCACTTGGTTTCTTCATTACCAAGACTAAATTCAATTGTTTCATTAATAATTGTGGCTTCTTCTTGGGAGACATGCATGGGCAGCTCAATTAGAATGTTTTTAATGTGTTTTCCAACATCATGCAATGGCTCAAATGGCAATATCTCATACTTGTCACTGTTTATCAAAGCTAAGGTAGCAAGTGGATTTGGGTAGAGAAGGGCAGGCACTCTCTGCACTCCATGAAGCTTATCAGTCAGCAACTTCTTCATATCATCAACTGTTTCACCTTTGTATACCTTTCTACTGTTCAACTCTTTCTGTAATTCAGCTTTCTTCAATTAAGGTGGCTCAATACAGTTTTCAAAAATTCAGGTGTTTAACAGTTTGACATGTTTAAACTATGCATTTTTAGGATTTATTCAGCAGATATTGGTTTTTTTTTATATATTTTGATAACTCTACTTTCAAATTATATTAGTTATAGTAATAGATAGTTCGTTGCTATGACGACATATGTGTACGAAATTCACTCCAAAATGGCCTATCATCTCGTATAGTTGAAAAAAAAGCATGGTGACCCCCAATTTTTTTTTGTGCGTTATTTTACTTGGACGAAAAGTTAACAACTGGCAAAATATAAAAAATTCTGTAATGCCATTTTTTTTGAAAAATGCGAAAATGTCATATTCTTCTGTAAAATGTTTTTGGGCATTACAGAATTTTTAAATTTTTTGTATGATGAAAGTTTTTAGCGGTGCAATACTGCATGCAAAATTTGAACATAGGTCACCAGACAAAATAAAGGGATATAGCGCATTGTTTTTCTAAAACGGAAAATTCTAATGACGTCAGCAATTGACATAAAACGCTATAAAACACGCTCAATGGCATGATATGGTGTGAGCAACTGCTCACATAAGGTCATTTTGGAAGTTCTTTCATTTTGTTAATCAGTTTCCGCGACCTGCGCGTAAAAATTGTCACCCAGTTTTTAATTCGCGATTTTTGAGCAGAGTTTTTGTTTCCTTCCAAGGTTTTCTGATGAGCAATGGCACCTTCGAGAATCAGCTTTTGTCGATCATTCAAGGAAATGTGCGAGCACCTAAAGCTGTAATCAAGTTCATAGACTCGGTTAGTGTATACTCCACACACTGAACAATAGAAATTTCCTCCCTTTTGCTGGCCACACTTGTATTGCTGGGCTGGGTTATCACTGTGGAAAAACCTCATCACATCTACAATTTCATCTCCTTCACTTGTGAGTGGCAAACTGATTTCGTCTTAAGCATTCCAACCTGGAGTCAACGTATGACAACTGCTCAACATCTGAACTGCTGGATCTGGCAACTATGTACACTTCGGGAGATTCTACATTAGTTTGAATGTCGACTTTTCGTCGTTTTATTAATTCGTATTCCTCATTAGTATAAAAAACAGCTCAGTCGTACATCAATGAAACCATGAAAATTAAATGACTGTGGTTTGCAAATGTAGAAAGATCATGCCATATTTTCAGATTTCGAGTGTGAAATTTCCTTCAGCTTTGCTCTCAAGACTTCTGCATCATCCGATTCGCAGAAAACAGCATTTACCTGAGATAACCTTTTTGTCAGTTCTTGCTTTGACATATTAGAGAATTCTTTATCAGAAACGTTTCTCATATAACATGCATGGGACTTCAGAAAATGTTCCCATACTACAGTTAAAGGTTGCTTGTGCCCTTCTACAACAAATTCACTTCTGACAACTGACCCATCATCACCAAGTGTCAATTTTTCATACTGCAAATTGATAGAAACAAATAGAATCAGCATGTGCATGGTTAGGTAATAAAGTTAATAGGGAGGGGGTTATACCAGGAGAGCATTTATGAAATTTCCTCAACAAAGCGAGAGCATGCACTTGCTGCACTAACTGTACTGTCTAGCATTTTCTAATTAATAATAATAATACGTTTCATTGCATTACCAGACACTCGTAAGGTGAGAATTAATTATTAAATTAAACATACCTTTTTCAGTACTATTAATTTCTTTATTGAATACTCATTTTCCAAAATTTTTTCATGCATTTGTTTCAGCAGTTGGTATAGATATTTCTCTTCCAATTCCTCTTCTCTTCTTATGCCTTATACGTGGACCATCAGAATCTATGTTGTACCACTTAAATCGTTCTGTGTCAACACCCACCGATTTTAACCATTCTTTTGCAATCTGACCACCATTTTCTGCAAATTCCCCTTTCGTGTTTGTTATATTGTATTGTTTTGCTAGCTGGGACCAGTTCACAAACTTGCCATCTTCATAAGATTCGACTTCGAATTTTAGACCATCCTTGTCCCATGCCATTTTATTGAATCTTCCTACCGCGGACTTTCCTTTGTTTCATTAAGGACCTTTGAAGCGTCTGGGCTGGGTTTTGGTTCGAATGATTGGGCTAGGCCCTCATTTTGTCTTGATTTTAATGACTGTCTGTTACCAAAAGACCTACAGTATATAACACTTTACAAAATTTAAACAATAATATTGGCCTACTGGTGTCAATCATCCATCAAACTGCATAGAGCCTATATGGGCACTTTTCATTGTTCAGATTATAATCACTTAAACCGAATTTGAGAATCAAAGCAAATTACAGTCAGGCTAATCTGACTGCAGGGCTGTAGCGAAGAGGCCTAAAGCAGGGGGGTTGTAGTATCGCATTTGCCTAGAACATTTCAGTCGCTAATTAATTTACTCCCAAAATTGTTGGCAAAGGGGAGGGGATTTTCCGGACATACCATTTATGACAAACTTTCTCATTGATTAAATATATTGTGACTTGATAAATCCGAAAACAATTTGCTGAGTCAAGCAGACATTTGCTGCATTTCACACCCCCCTCTAGCAACACCCATGTCTGACTATGTAAATCGAAGTGTCCTACATTTTTCTTTTATGTTAGTGTGTTTACGTTAATACTTTGTAAAATTATATACTCAGACTTTGTTCATTTCCATTTTGTATAATTTTATGTTTATATTTTATGTGCACTAACCTTACTATTGCTGTCTTCTTCCATTCCTCTTCTATTCATTGTTTCGATTTCCTATATTGATCCCTTCTCTCTCTTTTCATTTCAGCCTTGGATTTCTTCTGTTGCAGTTGTAATTCAGCAACAGAAATTAACGCTTCAGCTAGCGGCACGTGACATGTTTTCTTGAACGACTGGTTTATCTTCTGGTAAATTTCTCTTGCTGCCTTTGTTACATTCAAACTCTCAAGGGTATTATTGATTTTTGGATTTTAATAACAAATCTCTTCCATGACCAGAAGTTAAGATACTAAGGTATTGAAAATGAACAAAACTGGAATTTTTTATTATGATTTTCCGAGACCGCAACGCCATTGAAAATTAGTCACGATATTTCTCTTTAAAATCACCAAAAATGTCATAGAAACCATAAATGTTTAAGTGTCAAGCTCTGTCCACTGTGGTTAAGCACTGTTAATTTCCCAGCAATACATGGATTCCCTAAGGTTTTATGGCCATTTAAGTGTTTTAATGCTAATTTTAACCTGGACCCAGGCATCAATCTACTTGAGATGGTAATTAATTGACGGAAGTCAAAGGCTTCAGAAAAAGTTTATAAAGTTAACCAGCAATAAGTTCTTCCCTTTCGCTATGGTATATGGCACAGTTAATATTTTATCAAAGCTGGACAAGCATGTAATTTTTGTTGTCATGTTATTCTATTTTGGCACTTTTTACTGTCAAGGCTAAGGGCATTTTTGCAGTTTCCTTCTATTTTCTTTGTCAAAACTGGCAATGAAACCATCAATTAATGTAAGGTGTTGCTATTGTACCTTACTATATTTTCTCGTTCGAACTTTGAGCAGCCACAAAACCAATTCCTTGGCACCAACACACTGTAGATGAAACCATGCACTTCCTACACCTTGGGGAATCACATTGAACCCATGGTAGCTCCGCATTTGGTGCTTGCGAGTTGTGGCCCTGGGGAGCTTGGCAGGAATTTGCATTGCACAACTCTTCTGGTCCTGTGATTCCAACCTTGGGTACTAATAGGTTAGAGGGTCGAATGATGTAAGTGCCTTCTTCCAAGCTACTGTCTTCAACGTCATCTAAAATACATATGTTAAATTTGAATAGGAATATATGACTTTATAATGTCACATGTGAACCAGAACACCTTAGACAGACATGTTTATACATCCCCTTTATTATCTTTGCAATCAACAAAACGATTGAAGGTACAGGCAACTGGAGTGAAGAGTCCTAAATTAAGTCCTATCTACCATATCTTTTGTAAATTTAGAGTTTCTGAAATGCCATTTCCTGGACTTTGGGGAAGATTTGACAGAACTCTGTTGGTCAGAAAAGAGCGTTTTAGTATGCCGAAATTTACAATTTAATGTTTTAGTATGTCAAAATTTACAATTTGTCCCCGAGCCAATGCCGCGGAGTGAGGGTACTAATTCTGCCCGGCTAGTTACACCCGGGGAAAGGAACGCACTAGCGAAGTCTAAAGTTCATCAAATATTGTGGGCGCATGGTGTATGGGTGGTCATCTCATCTCAAGCATTGAGAATTGATTTAGTATGAGAAATCCTAAAGTATAAGGCAAGTAAATGTTTCAGTTGTTTATGTATGACTTTGTATTATTATAAACTTTGTTTTTGTTGTTCAAGTCTTTCCTATGGCTATGCATTGTATGCGAAAGTTCCTTACTGTTAAATTAACTTTTGTACAAGTTCATGATAGAACGGAAAGCAAATTATTTTCATTGGTGTCATGTATGAATTAAATTTATTTCATTTCAAAGTGCGAGTAATAAGTTGAAACTAGCTCGAGTTGAAGAGTTTATCGGCAAAAAAGCGGTTGATTTCAATTTACATTTAAGAACGTTTTACGAAGAGTTTCGTGTTGAATTTTACATTAAAATAAAGCCCATACAAAGCAAAATAATATACCTACTTTATATATTTTAGAAATTGACAGTTCTGTATTTAAAAGTGTTCAGGTTTCATTTATTTTTACTGTTTTGCACAAAAAATTATTGTGTCACCGTGGCTAACATGATTACATGACGTGAGCAATGCGAGCCTGTGTTCAGTGTTGGAGTAATTACAAATACTTCATGTTGAAACAATGTTTGGAAAATATTGGCGAGGGGTTGTTGCATGCATGTATTTCTAGTTTACAATTTAGTAGTACGAAATGGGCGAAGGGGTAATCTTGCACCAAAAGTTGTTGCCTATACAATGCCTGGAAGAATCATTCCCTCCGCATTTATAAGTTGTTCTTGATTCCAGCCTTTAATTTTACTCCAGAACGGGTAAACTAATCATAACCACATAATAAGAAATTAAAAGCACACCAATAAGATTTTTTATAACACGTTTCCTTACCAGGTACATTCTAAAACTTATACTCAGAAAACAATGAGAAATTCATTAAAAAATAAATTATAAAATAGTGCATTTCCTATTCAGCCTGCTGCCGGCTTATTTTCTTTTCAGTGATTCTTGACTGGGGCATATTAAGAAGGTAGGGATAAATAAGGGCTTATGTATGGGAGCTAACTAAATGGTTGTGGGGAATGTAGTATGAAAAGACCACACAAATAAATCAGTTTTAAACGTATTTTAACACGCCTCTCCTCTCTGTTTACAGCCTAAAACCCAAAGTGCTTACCTAAACAGTTTAATTACTTAGTTAATGTCAATATAAATTATAATATTAATGTTAATATAATAAGTTCACGACACCCTCCCCCTTTCTTAGACAATCTAAATGTCTAAAAAACAACTATAACTCACCGTCTTGGACAGTTTTGGCTAATTGTTTAAGTCTCTTTTTAGCATTTGTTTTTGCTGCTCTTTCGTTTCTTTGTTGGAACTCTTCAGCTTCCGGGTTTAACTGTGTCGCCACCTTTGTGTGGGGAATGTAGTACGAAAAGACCACACAAATAAACCAGTTTTAAAAAACACGCACATACCAGGTAACTCTCATGGCTTTTGACCAGGTCTTCTAAATTGCCTTCTCTTAGCAGCTTGACTCAAACCTGAAGCTACAGCAGGAGCTACAGCAGTAGAAGAAACAGGATGCATGGAAGATAATTGATCTGGAATAGATTGCTGCACTGATAGGACTGGCACAGATAAGAACATGGGATTCGTTAGGGCCGAAGATGAGGAGGAAGTAGAAGACATGGATGCCAAAGAAGATATAGTGGAAGAAGATACACAATGAAGAAGAAGAAAAAGGAAAAGATGTAGAATGAGAAGACAAATGAAAAGTTGGCATAGATGTTGCAGAGGAGCTAGGCGAAATGAAATTAAAAGAAGAGGAGGTGCAAGAACTTGAAGGAGAATTCAAAGAAAACGTTGAATAAGTCATGCTGGAGGAAGTTAAAGAAGGAACTGAACTTACAACAGGTACAAGACTGCATGTTTTAACATGAGGAAGATGAGGAAAATGGTACATCAGAAGAAGATAATGTTAATGGATCAAGAGAAGAAACAGGCCTTGGTGGACAAGAATTTAACCCCTGAGAGGTTTTGGCAAGATTAGCACGACGTTTTGACCTGGGGACGTTTTGACCGGAAAGCATTTCCAGACCTGTATATACAATAAACAGTAAAACAATGATTACATCGTACATACCATACAATAGATCTTTTGTTGTTGTTTGTTCGCAGAACCTAAAACCACGATGTAGTGCGCCATTTGTTTAATACTGTATTATTTTGTTTTTTATTTTAAAATAATTTAGAATTCCTACCATTTATTTACAATATACTTCATGTAATTTAAACATTACGCCGACAGTTTCCGAATGCGTGACGATACTGTTTCTGGATATGGCACTGGGATATGATGTAGATATCAAAAATTTTATAAAACATGTTTGTAGCATGAAGAAAGCACAAGATTGAAACAGTTTAAACTAGAGGGCACTCAGAGACTGCATACCTCCGGCCGTTACTTGGAAGTGAAACGCAACCTTGGAATTTCCTAAGAAATCCACTTTATAATTCTTAAGCATAAAAGATTTCAGGCCCCCGCGAATTGAAATCGAATTGCTAATAGAACATATTACTGTTGTTGTACTGTACAGTCCTTGTAAAATAAAAACTTTTTAAGTGTCATTAAATAAATGCACAAATTTTGCTTTATGCACTCGCGCGTGCAGTAATTTTCACAGTTGTGCTATTTTAAATTCCCAGGCAGCTAAAATCTTTTGTCTTTAAAACAATGTCGATTTCTTGGGAAATTCCGAGGTTGCGTTTTTTTTATACACCCTGTATTGAAGTAATCTAATGTTGTTAAATGTTGTTAGAATTTGAATGGACTGGCACTTTGCTGAACGTAATAATGCGTAACTCCGTAAGTCTTGTTTTAGACATTGAATTTCGGTCGCGTGAAATGCAACTAAGACAATAGATAATGAAGGCCGAAGCTTAATGAGGTTTATCATCTCATTACTGTCTTAGCACTGAGTGCATAAATTATACCCGTCCTAATTACGCATTCAGTAATATATTTTGTTAATTGACCGGGAAAAGCAAGACAAAATTTTGTTCATTTCTCGTTCAATTTTTAACCAAATTCAACCAAATTTTAATCAGTTCTTCCTTAGCCGATGGGAAATGCATTCAAAAAATTTCGTACCGATATGTTTGGTATTTCTTGAGTTATCGTGCTCACAGACAAACACACACACATACACACACACACATACACACATACACACACATACACACACACACACATACAAACCCAGATGATTACATAACCTCCTGGCAGAGGTAATAAATGCAAGCTAAATAAAGAAGTTTTGACATGATACAAAACAAGACAACTTCACTTACAAGGGTGACAAGGTAATTTATAGGATTATAGCTTATTCAGTTATACTGTATAAATACATTGTGTGTTTCTACCCCCTACCCCTTGTGTTTTTTTGGAAATCAAATATTTATTATATTTTCCAATTTTAACTTAATTGACATAAATTAATAATATTAAATCTTACTGCAGGGCTGTAGTGAAGAGGCCTAAAGCAGGGGGGGGGGGTTGTAGTATTGCATTTGCCTAGAACATTTCAGTCACTAATTAATTTACTCCCAAAATTGTTGGCAAAGGGGAGGGGATTTTCCAGACATACCATTTTTGACAAACTTTCTCATTAATTAAATGTATTGTGACTTGATAAATCCGAAAACAATTTGCCAAGTCAAGCAGATGTTTGCCGCATTCCACCCCCCCTCTAGTAACGGCCATGCCTGACTATGTAAATGGAAGTGTCCTACATTTTTCTTTTATGTTGGTGTGTTTACGTTAATACTTTGTAACATTATATACTCAGACTTTGTTCATTTCCATTTTGTATAATTTTATGTTTATATTTTATCCGCACTGACATTACTCTTGCTGTCTCCTTCCATTCCTCTTCTATTCATTGTTTCGATTTCCTATATTGATCCCTTCTCTCTCTTTTCATTTCAGCCTTGGATTTCTTCTGTTGCAGTTGTAATTCAGGAACAGAAATTAACGCTTCAGCTAGCGGCACATGACATGTTTTCTTGAACGACTGGTTTATCTTCTGGTAAATTTCTCTTGCTGGTTTTGTTATATTCAAACTCTCAAGGGTATTATTGATTTTTGGATTTTAATAACAAATCTCTTCCATGATCAGAAGTTAAGATACTAAGGTATTGAAAATGAACAAAAACGGAATTTTTTATTACGATTTTCCGAGTCCGCAACGCCATTGAAAATTAGTCACGATATTTCCCTTTAAAATCACCAAAAATGTCACAGAAACCATAAATGTTTAAGTGTCAAGCTCTGTCCACTGTGGTTAAGCACTGTTAATTTCCCAGCAATACATGGATTCCCTAAGGTTTTATGGCCATTTAAGTGTTTTAATGGTAATTTTAACCTGGACCCAGGCATCAATCTACTTGAGATCGTAATTAATTGACAGAAGTCAAAGGCTTCAGAAAAAGTTTATAAAGTTAACCAGCAATAAGTCCTTCCCTTTCGCTATGGTATATGGCACAGTTAATATTTTATCGAAGCTGGACAAGCATGTAATTTTTGTTGTCATGTTATTCTATTTTGGCACTTTTTACTGTCAAGGCTAAGGGCATTTTTGCAGTTTCGTTCTATTTTCTTTGTGAAAACTGGCAATGAAACCATCAATTAATGTAAGGTGTTGCTATTGTACCTTACTATATTTTCTCGTTCGAACTTTGAGCAGCCACAAAACCAATTCCTTGGCACCAACACACTGTAGATGAAACCACTTCCTACACCTTGGGGAATCACATTGAACCCTTGGTAGCTCCGCATTTGGTGCTTGCGAGTTGTGGCCCTGGGGAGCTTGGCAGGAATTTGCATCGCACAACTCTTCCTGGTCCTCATCCAATTCACATTATCTTGCATTTCTTTGAATATGTAAGTCTACCAACCCAAGTGTGATTCCAACCTCAGGTAGTAATAGGTTAAAGGGTCGAATGATGTAAGTGCCTTCTTCCAAGCTACTGCCCTCATTGTCATCTAAAATAAATATATTAAATTCGAATAGGAATATATGACTTTATATAATTATAATGTCATGAAGGGTCGAATGATGTAAGTGCCTTCTTCCCAGCTACTGTCTTCAACGTCATCTAAAATACATATGTTAAATTTGAATAGGAATATATGACTTTATAATGTCACATGTGAACCGGAACACCTTAGACAGACATGTTTATACATCCCCTTTATTATCTTTGCAATCAACAAAACGATTGAAGGTACAGACAACTGGAGTGAAGAGTCCTAAATTAAGTCCTATCTACCATATCTTTTGAAAATTTAGAGTTTCTGAAATGCCATTTCCTGGACTTTGGGGAAGATTTGACAGAACTCTGTTGGTCAGAAAAGAACGTTTTAGTATGCCGAAATTTACAATTTAACGTTTTAGTATGTCAAAATTTACAATTTGTTCCCGAGCCAACGCCGCGGAGCGAGGGTACTAATTTCGCCCAGCTAGGTACACCCAGGGAAAGGAACGCACTAGCGAAGTCTAAAGTTCATGGTGTATGGGTGGTCATCTCATCTCAAGCATTGAGAATTGATTTAGTATGAGAAATCCTAAAGTATAAGGCAAGTAAATGTTTCAGTTGTTTATGTATGACTTTGTATTATTATAAACTTTGTTTTTGTTGTTCAAGTCTTTCCTATGGCTATGCATTGTATGCGAAAGTTCCTTACTGTTAAATTAACTTTTGTACAAGTTCATGATAGAACGGAAAGCAAATTATTTTCATTGGTGTCATGTATGAATTAAATTTATTTCATTTCAAAGTGCGAGTAATAAGTTGAAACTAGCTCGAGTTGAAGAGTTTATCGGCAAAAAAGCGGTTGATTTCAATTTACATTTAAGAACGTTTTACGAAGAGTTTCGTGTTGAATTTTACATTAAAATAAAGCCCATACAAAGCAAAATAATATACCTACTTTATATATTTTAGAAATTGATAGTTCTGTATTTAAAAGTGTTCAAGTTTCATTTATTTTTACTGTTTTGCACAAAAAATTATCGTGTCGCCATGGCTAACATGATTACATGACGTGAGCAACGCGAGCCTGCGTTCAGTGTTGGAGTAATTACAAATACTTCATGTTGAAACAATGTTTGGAAAATATTGGCAAGGGGTTGTTGCATGCATGTATTTCTAGTTTACAATTTAGTAGTACGAAATGGGCGAAGGGGTAATCTTGCACCAAAAGTTGTTGCCTGTACAATGCCTGGAACAATCATTCCCTCCGCATTTATAAGTTGTTCTTGATTCCAGCCTTTAATTTTACTCCAGAACGGGTAAACTAATCATAACCACATAATAAGAAATTAAAAGCACACCAATAAGATTTTT